AGTATAGATTTAACAAAAAATGGCATATCACAAAACGTTACCCTTCTGTCAATCTATACTTCTATGTATATTCTTTTTTTGTATGCATTGAAATATCTTAAAAACTACTGTACCGATTTCAAAAATACATTCAACATTAAAAAGCTTCGTTATCAGTGAGTAACTTTCCTTTTGTTATTTTTTAATTTCACTCAGAAGAAGTCGCGAGCAACAGCTAGTCCGTAATATTTAAATTAAAAAATTTATCTCGTTGATTATATTTTAATATTTAAAATACAATCAGTAGTCAGATTGCATAATGTCGCTGACAGGCGCTTATAGTGTTCGTTTATGTCGCGTCAGACGATGTCGCTGATAATCAGGTTAATTACAAACGCACTGTTAATTATTCATACATTAATTAAACCTCAAACTAACTGCATTATATATTTAACTCGGTTATTATTGTAGTATGGTTCCTTAGTCGATTCTTGAATTTGGTATTTTATTGTTAAAGTAACCTTTAGCTCGCGATTTCGCCCGCGTGAAATTGAAAAAATAATAAAAATATAGCCAATTACTCAGATAAATTACATTTCTAATCGTAAAAGAATTTTTAAAATCGTCCCAGTAGTTTTTGCGTGAATCAAAAAATACGAATCTTTCCTCTTTATGGAGTAAAATATATTGACAAAAGCGTTAACTAGTTAACTTATTTTATACTACCTGTTAAGATATTAAATCTTACTTCTTACTAATATTATAAATGCGAAAGTTTAGATGGATGGATGGATGGATAGATGGATGGATGTTTGTTAGAGTTTGTAGCCTAAACGGCTGAACGGATCTCTATGAAATTTGGCAGAGACATAGAGAATAGTCTGGAAGAACACATAGGCTATTCACTTTCTTTTTTTTTCAATTCCACGCGGATAGAGTCGCGGGCGAAAGCTAGTAGATAAAAAAACAGCATATGTTACTCACTGATAACGTAGCTTTTTGATGGTGAAAAAATTTTTGAAATCTGCCCAGTAGTTTTTGAGTTATTTCAATATTTAGATAGATTTTTTCACACTGTGATTGTTTTTTTAATTTTCACTCATTGCGCTGTCTATTTCGGTTGATGTTTTACTATTTTAATAAAAAAAAAAAGATAAAATTAAAACGTCTTGTTTTTAAATTACTTAGCAATAAACAGCATTGGAATACAGAGTATACAATTGGAAAAGTCATTAATTAATGAAACACAAGCGTTTATTTGTTTAATATTAACTCAGCTTTGGTATTGAGGTTTTATAGCCCTTTCCTACATAATACCCACCTGTGGCCATCCCTTTATCTCTTGTATTAATAATTTTATAGTCTAATAAACCGTTACATCATATTAGTCTGCTGCCTAAATATACTGTGGTTTATTGAATTAATATTTAGCTAAATACAATCATCATCATCCCCCCCACCTTATCCTACTTCCTGTGGTCGGAGCAACATGTTTTTGTCCTCCACTCTATACGTCATCTCAGTCATCACTCCCTTGATTATGTCACCTTTCACGCAATCCATCCATTTCTTTCTAGATTACAAATAATAAAATCACTTAAATTGGCAAAAAAATCGCAAAGTAAAGTCTTTTTAGGATACATATAATCCTAGCTTTAGTATTTTTACTAACTACTAAAGATAGGTTATTCTATCATTTTTTAACTAGCTTTAGGTTTTTAGTCCATATGTTCACAACACATTTCTTACCTGTACGGTTTTTAAGATGTACAATTGGGGAAACTGTTGGTGTTCCACCTCAAAAGCTACAATCGTTTGAACATTTTGAAACGAGACACGGAACTAATACCAATACAACGCTTTTAAATGTGTCTTATCGAAATATATCGGTCAGATACAAGGCTAGTATCCTTTATTATTATCCCTTTGTTTATACTCACTGCTGTCTAGTTATTTGTAGAAAGCTGGAGGCTGCATCAGCTGAGCCTTCTTATGGCTGAGAACTGATTTTTTTAAGTTCTGTAAATTTTGATTTGTTATTTTTTTGGTGTTTTGTTTTTGTTTTTTCTTGGCCAATAAATAGTGTTTTTTTTTAAAGAGACGCAGTTTTCGTTGCAACGAACACAGCAATTTATCCGGAAGTGGAACACCGTGGATTTTCCCGACTGTAGTTACCATGCGAGTCGCCGGCACGGAAAGTGTTAAGTGCTGGCTGTATTCTCTGATTTGAAGGACGTAATTTGTGCATATTTTCAACTGACGTTAATTAGGTATTCTACTTTTTTATTAAGTTAAAGCAACGTTCTATTTTCAACTTAGATTAAGTAAAAAAATTACAGTTAAAATTACCAAGACGAGCTAAAAATAACTTAATTTCCGTAAGTTAGAGTAGCAAAGTGTAACATTGAATTAATTAAGCGATTTTAATTAAAGTTTTCAATAACATTATCCAAGTTTAGCTTTCAATTCCAAGTTTCGTAATGACCTACTAAACTTTTATAGGTCTTTTCTTTTATATGTAAGAATATTGTGTTATTTCTATCTATCTACCTACATTTTACTAAGTAGGTAAAAAGGTTTTACGGGAGATTTTCACTGCAGATACAATACAAAAATTGCCATTTGCCTTTTTCTGATTGGTTAAGCTAGTGTCCCTGCTTATGTCAGTGGAAACTGACCTTAAACGAGTTTCATTGTTGCATCTGTAAATTATCAATACCTACATTTAAATTTGACATGTTGTTTATTATTAGTAACAAAAGCAGAGGTGTTCAACATTTTAAAGCCTATAAATTTTCTATATGGAATAAACAAATTGGTACAACCTTGGAGTGTTCACATATGTTGTTTAATTTGTATTAATATCTATAGTAATGTAATAAAGCGTAAACACACATTACCTTCTTACGTAGGATGTCAGCAATCACAGTATATTTGTGAATAATTCTTTCTTTGATAAAAAGCCCTAATCTTACGACACGCTTTAGACTATGTACTTTCACGCTATTAAACTTAGGGGGTATTTAAATTGGAAAAAACCTTCATGTGGGAAAGGGATCATAAACTACAAGCTGCCAACATTTAGATATTGCATTTGCTATTGAGAATTTGACAAATGTAAACAATAAAGTAAAATTTATATGAATTCATGCGGATGAAGTCGCACGGGAACAGCTAGTATGAAATAAATATTTACACATGATGAAACGTGTACAGAAACATTGCAATAGAATCAAGAAATATTTCGAATAAAAATACAAAATTGCTTTTTATCGAAAGTTCTATTTCGATTGAATTTGACGAAATAATTTATTTTCTTCTTTACCTTTTTCTATCGACATTAAGCTTTTGAAAACTCTACTCCCCTGTCAAGTGGAAATCAATCAATCTTGATAATCTATTCATTGGAACGAGTATTATAAGGAACGTTTTAGATTACTTAGATTCATTGCAATCTTTGGAGTCAATCTCCGATCCATTTGGTCCATTCTGACCGACTTCACGTGAAAGAAACGTTACATATTAAAAAAAACAGCAATTTACTAGATTTGTTTAGGGAATAGTTTTGTGTGTTTTATAAGATGTCAAAAAATCAAGCGACATGGATTCAAAATAGCGAAACTACCATTATAGGTGGATATCTATAACCCATGAGTAAGCATCACTAACAAATTAACTTCCACTTAACAAAATCTCAAAGCAAAGGTCGGAAAAATGTGTGTTAAAATTAGGTCTTCGACTCTCAAAACTCATTAGCATTTACTTGACGACATGTTATGACAACAAGCATTTTTACAATAAAATCTCCGACTTGGTCTCCCTTTTGTTTACATTTTTTTATTGTCCTAGTCCGGAATCAGTATGCCTTATCCTACTCCCGTAGGGTCGGCGCAACGGGTTTTCGTTCTCCAAATAACTCTATCATCCGCCATCTCAGTCATCACTAGGGAGTGATGTGTGAGTGAAGAAGGGTCTTGATCATGTCACCTTTCACGCAATGCATCCATCTCTTTCTAGGTCTACCTCTACCGATGTACCCCTCCACATTCATAACTAACGTCTTGTTACATGCGATTCATCCCTCCTCATAACATGCCCATACCACTCTAACCTTTTACACCTTATTTTCTCAACCACTGGGGCTACTCTCAAACTTCCTCTAATATACTAATTTATTATCTTATCCAATCGCGTTACCCCACACATCCATCTTAACATTCACATTTCCACCACATTTATTCTTTCATCCGTCTCTTTTACTGCCCAACATTCAGACATACATCATGACAGGTCTTAATTTCCTAGTCCAGAATAAATGATAGAATTTTTTTTTAAATTGTTAGCATTAAACGTTTTTGCTATTTTGTGTACAACTGATCTGTTTTCTAATCTATTCTGTATCTCACCAACACGTGTTATTATATCTTTGTATAGATTTTATCTGTTTCCTCATTAGATTTGTTTATCTTGGTTTGCATAAAAATGATATTCGTGAAAAATAAATTGAACGATGTCATTGAAAATATTAAATTTATTATAGATTTACTAAATACAAAATTTGCAATATTTCATTGTTTTACAAAAAAACAATAGGGTATTAAACTCTGTCCTACCAATTACCGATACAAAAATATGTTACTAAACTATCTTTGTTATTAAAATCCATTAATTTATAAACTTTAAGCTTATTAGACAATGATTTACTTATCCCAATTAAAAATAATCAGCAATAACTAATGTTTGCCTATCTATACTATCTACACTATTATAATAAAGCGTAAACACACACTTCTTTGTTGCCTAAAATGTCAACAATTACAGCATATTTTTGAATATTTTTTTTAAATAAAAAGCCCTACACTTACGATACGCTTTAGGCTATATATTTTCACGCCATTAAACTTAGGGGGCCATCATCAAGAAAGCAAGATTTTCATAGTAAGGTAATTGGTATTTTGACATTTGCAATTGAGAATTTGACTAATGCAAACAATAAATTTATAATTTCATGCGGATGAAGCCGCACGCGAACAGCTAGTATCTTAATAATATTGCTAAGTCTTATGAAGGAAATACACATGCCAGTAAAACTGGTTATCTGGCATGCTTCCTACTAGCCGTACACACGTCTAACCTTCCCCTAGTTATTTTGTATGTATATCCGGTGGTACATTTCATGCAATTATAACTGCTCCATCCATTTTTAGACTCGAGCCTGTCATCCGTGGCATTAGATTGCTGGCCGCTAACAAAATAAGTTTTGCAACCTCCTTGGGATCGAATATTTTCTTGAGACCCAATTCAGCTATTAGATTGTCATATGCATAGTTAACAAAACCTTCGTCAATGTTTAGATTTTGAATTAAATTGGTACGGGTGACTCCTGGTTTAATAATATTGACCCTCACACCTTCAGTTACCACTTCCATTGCGGCGTGTTTTGTAAATATATCCAATCCATTCTTTGATATTACATAAGGAATAAATCCCGGTTTATATCTTTCTAAATACGACGTACCGATATTCACAATATTTCCTTTAGTTTTAATTAAATGCGGTAAACACAGTTGCGTCAAGAAATACGGCACTCTCAAATTAATAGCCATTAACTCATCAAACACGTCAATGTCCTCTTCATGTAATGTTCCCATTTGTAATTTACCCGCACAGTTTATTAAAATATCAAGCCTTTTGTATTTGTCAATTGTTTTTCTAACAACCTCTCCACAACTTCCCGGTTGGATAAGATCAAGTAATAAACATAACGGTACATTACCACTGATCAGTTCGCAATGTTGGGCCACGTTTTGCAGTCTTGATTCATTTCTTCCCACGAGGCATAGCTTTGCTTTGTACTGGGCGAACATTTTAGCTGCTTCAGCTCCGATACCTGAACTAGCTCCTGTTACTATTACTACCTTGTCCTCAAAATTGAAGTCCATTTTTACTTTGTTATTTTTCAATTTAGAAATATAGTCACTTTAATACTTGTTTATTTATTTGTCACATAAATAATTTCAAAATCACAGTGCAATATTTAGCTTGTTTATTAACAGCCTGTTTAGTGTAGGTTGTCACTGACAATACTGCGGTTATCGTATCTTGGAATACCGCAGAGTCATATCTAATAAATTCAACATGCTGTTTTATCGCAAATTTTTGATATCGCGAATTATCCACCAAAATGTATAAATCTATTTACATTTATATATGTATTTTGCTTATTCACATTAATTGGTAATTTTTCGTACGAGAATTTTTTTAGCAACAGCAACAGTTTGCATCATTTGAAGATTTTTCTTGATGTCTCTTATTGACCACTTAACGACTTTGAGATCAACATTATATTGTGATAGTAGGTACTTTAGAAATATTAATTACTAGCTGATGCTCGCGACTTCGCCTGCGTCAAATTGAAAAAAATATAGCTTATGTGCACTCACTAATGAATTACCTTTCTAATGGTGTAACATTTTTGAAAACGGCCCAGCAATTCGTTCTTGAATCGAATATGTACAAAAATCTAAAAATGCAAACCTTTCCTCTTTATAATATAAGTATAGATGTGAAATTATTTGAAAGAAACGTATGCTTTGTGCTAGCTAATTTTACACAGTTTTATAGAATTGCTAAAGTGCAGATGATGCTCCATCTATTCCGATATTGGAACCGTTTATATCTGGAAATAAATCACTGGCTATGATGCATATTAACTTTGCTACTTCTGAGGCCTCAATTGGTGTTTTTGTTGGGAAGTTTTCTGATATTCTTCTATATGCAACATCTAAATACGATGCCTCAACATTTATATTTCTAATTAAATTGGTTTTCGTGAAACCTGGATTGATTGAATTTATTCTTATACCTTCTCCTGTCGCTTCTGCAGCTGCTTGTTCTGTGAACAGCTGGAGAGCGTTTTTAGTTATGTTGTAAGTTAAAAATCCTGATGTATGTCTGTGAGAAAGTGACGCAGCGATGTTTACAACGTTCCCTTTAGTCTTCCTTAAATATGGTACAGCTAATTGACACAAGTAATATGGGACACGAAGATTGATTGCGATTAATTCATCAAATATTTCCATTGATTGGTCAAAGATTGATGCCATTTTTAATTTACCAGCTCCATTTATTAACACGTTTATTCTGCCGTATACTTCAATGGTTCGGTGAATGACAGTCTCGCAGCTACCAGGGTGTGTTAGGTCTAGAAGTAAGCATAATGGTGGTACTCCATCGACTGAACATTCTTCTGCCACACCTTGAAGTCTCTCTACGTTTCTTCCGACAAGTACCAGCTTTGCTTCATATCTCGCGAATAATTTAGCAGCTGCGGCTCCAATACCAGAGCTCGCACCAGTTACTATGACAACTTTGTTTTTAAAATCGATGTCCATTTTGTATTCAACACACGTACACTTTCAATACAGTTTATGTATGTACTGCCTTATCATGTTAGATATCAACTATCTACTGATTTGGTGGTTACTGGATTGAGTCATCGAATAATCGAAAATCGTTCTTTTTATTATTATTATGTGTTGGTGATTGAACTAATATTTAGTAAAATGTTGTGGTCCCTCCTAGTTTGTAGCCTAATGCTAGTGAGGTTAGCTTTTTTTGTTAATTTCTTTCACTTCACTCTATCCTCGACAGTTAGATTTGAAACGAGGCAGTAGACTATGTCCATGTCTTTCATCACGATGGTTACAAATGTTGAGGCAGACCAAACAGTATAGATGGATTATCAGATAGTGAGTACAAGAAGTCAATTCAGACGTTAAAAATAAATATTCTGCCAACACTATGTAGCGAAAAGGGATCATGATATTGCTCTTTTACGTTTCACGTTTCTATTCGCAATGTTGAAAGTATTTCGTATGTTCGGATATTGCGAAAGAATCGCCGAACCGCTAGCGTGACAATTGACGTGTTGAGCAATCCGCCGCGTCACGTTGACGTCGCTCGCGTGTTTACGCGTGACGTGACGCCGCGGCGTGTTTACATGCCACGTGTCTTGATGTATTGCTTTCACGCTCGCGGTAAATTAAAAGTTGGCAAATGAATTTTAGAATTTCGTTGTGTTTGTTTTGTTTTTGTTGCATTGTTGAATATGTTTTTAATCTGAGTGATTTGTCGTCCGATTGTTTTTTTTTGCGATGTACTGTTTTTAAAAATTTATTTCATTTGATACAGTTATTATGTTTTATTTTTCTGTTATTCAAAAATTATAAACGGGAATGTTTGAATGGATGGATAGATGTTTGTTACTTTGTATCTCTATGAAGGATTGTTGGAATCTGCTCAGATGTAGAACATAAGTTCTATCATATGCTAGAATAATACAACGGCTGATTATTGATTTTTTATATTCCGCTCGGGAAGAGTCGCGGTTAACAGCTAGTATAGTAAAATGCGTTAGTATGCAAAATAAAACTTCTTTCAACAAACAATAAAAGATTCATGTATTTTTTAAATCTTAAATATATCTTAATAAAAAAAAAAAAACTTTTATATCATTTAACATGGAACAATTTATCGACTATTCTCAGATAACATTAAAAATCTTACAGATATCTTATATCTATAAAGAAACAAAATAAAATAAAATCATGTTTCTAAAACAATACATTTTTATCTAAGCCCTCATCTGCATTGGCGCTTTTTTAACGCGCCCGCTGCGCAAAAAATGTTCTACTTTTTAAAAGCGTATTAATATAAACATGGACAGCATTTGTTTTATTTCGACGCTTTTTCAACGCGCGTTATAAAAGCGCTCATGCGAATGAGGATGACGCAATAAAATTTCTATCACTATGGTTTTACTAAACACATACAAAACAATTGTACTTATACAAAATATAACATTATGTAAAATAATTATCATGCAAAGATATAAATTTGGCTATCAATCATATCACGTGGTATTGCTTATTCACAGTAGTTACATAATATAACTAACGTCATTTATATACATTTTGAACTCTAAAGAATAGACAATAAGTGTCAAAATTTATCACAATTTTTAGATCCAAGATTCTTATCTTATCTGTTTTAGTAAAAATATAATTAAAGTGTTTTTAATATCACCATAAAAATGTTTATATCATGTGTTGTTTAATTAAAAAAAAATGACTCTAAGAGCGCGCGCACATCTTTGACTAAACTATCGGACAACTGTTTTGTCTCAATTTGATTCCTATATATATTAAATAGTTGAATTGGCTATGATTTCATTGTAATCGCAAGACGGTTGTGGAAGGAAAGTTAGTTTGAACACGAGGTGGCGCCACCGTCTAAGAACAAGTTATTACCAGTGAGGTTTGGATGTTCGTGTCCAGCCAAGAATAGGATCATCTTGGCCACATCTTCTGGTTCATTGATCATCTGAGGTTGGGCTTTAGCTATCTCATTATATGTCAGGTCCATTAAGTCTTCGTCCACGTTGAAATTAGCCAAATAATGAGTTCTCGTTACTCCTGGACGGACGGCGTTCATCCTAATACCTTCGCAAGATAAGTCACGAGAACCAGACACAGTAAAGGACTGTAATGCACTGCATAACACAGCACTCAATATAAAACCAGGACGATGCACGCATTTGTTCCCAAATACATTGACCACGTTACCTTTTGTTAATTTCAAATATGGAACACATAACTGACACAGTTTGTAAGGCACACGTAAATTTAATGACACCAAATCATCGAAAGTCTCCATTGAATTCTCGAATAATGAAGATACTATAGTTTTACCAGCACAATTCACTAATATATCAATCTTTTTGTACTTTTCCACGGTTTTGTTGACTACTTCCTCGCAGCTACCGTCGACAGTCAAATCGACGCGGACACATAATGGTCGGTTACCATGGAAGGCTTCGCAGGCATCAGCGACTTGTGTTAATCGGACTTCGTTTCTACCGACTGCTGTTACCAGGGCACCATGGGATGCGAAGAGCTTAGCCGTTTCAGCTCCTATACCAGAACTAGCGCCCGTTATTATAACAACTTTGCCCGTTATGTTCATTTTGTACGTGATACGCACTCTATGTTCGTGGTACAACTGAGCTTCAAGGTCTGTCAGATCAAACAAAGCTGTCATTAACCGGTATACAAGTTTACATACGTCATCCAGCGTGACCTTGATCTCACATTGAGTTTTAATGACAGGATCTGTTCGGTATTCCGTTATGTAAATTATTTTGTTAGGTTCACCAAACAGCTTAAAACTAATACATAATTACAAATGAATAGTGAATTAATAAAGCTAGGTTTTAAACCAAAGTATACCTAAAGTTATTTTTTTTAACTCACATTTTTGGGATTCAATCAAAGAATAGGAAAGTCGAAAAGTCAAGTAATAAATGAACAAGTTCTTAACTTGCTTTGTTATCTAATAATAGTTGAACTGCTAAGTAAAACTTTTTAATTAAGTATGCTTTTATAAAGCGGTTTTGATTTTTTTTAAGTATTAGAATGATGTATGTGGTTATCATAATTTCTTTTCCCTAACTCATTGCGAATAGTAGCTGAATTTAGTGCAATGCTTATTGCCTAGTCCTGTATATTTATGCTCAAAGATTTGGACAAATCGTTTGTATAGTTTATTCATCTTTCTCAATGTCATCATGACTCGAATTTTGTTGGTGCCGTTTGCTTCCTTACAGTTATCTTTATTTGTCTATTTGTACTGTTTGTTTTGATTTTAACACGATGTAATTGGTTAAAATTAGATCTTAAAAATTATAACATTGTTAATTTAACTATTAATAATAGCAAACTACTTTATTGAATAAATATTACTATTTAGTAAGGCAAACATAATAAAAAATAAAATGGTGGTTATGCGCGGCCAGTCATAGTGGAATTTGAGACTAATATTATGAAGAGGAAATATTTATAATATATTTTTGTATGTATTGAAATAACTCAACTACTGGGCCGATTTTAAAAATTCCTTTTCCCTTAGAATAGTAATTTATCTGTGAGTAACATAGGCTATGTGTATTTTTTTAATTTCACGAATGAAGTCGCGAGCAACAGCTAGTATTTTACATTTAATATAAACACTATAACTGTATATTTACTGGCTTACTGGGTAAAACAAAATAGCGACCAGTTCTAATGGAATTAGATACTAAATTGATTATAAATGTCCATGTCCATGGGCTTCGTTGACCACCTTGGTGTTCACGCCGCTCGTTTGCCCCCTTTTGTTATAAAAAAAAAACTCGTACGTTTAAAAGTTAAGTAAATCATAACTTTTCAATAGTCTGTTAACATTTGTATGGCGTTGTTTAAAATCCGTTATATTGAAGTGAAGCTTAGTTTGTATACGTTTGGTTATCAACGCTGTACAGACGCGATGTTGAAATAAATCAGTTTTGTGACGTCATTTTTATTTGTCGACCTCTCACGAGGTTCGTACCCCGAAGTTATTTATTACCGTTTTTGTTGTGTTTATTCAGATTTTTTCATTGAATTGATAAGTGAAAAGTTTATTTATAAGCTTTATTTGGACTGAATTATTGTTTGTATGATTATATAGATTTTTTATAACCTAGAAAATAGATTGGATTATACGAACGGTAAGATATGCGTGATATGTTAAGAGTTTTTTAATGCTGGAATGGTGAACTCAAGAAGGGTGATATTTAAGCGACCTGAAATATATGTGCCTGAAACCAAAAAGAGAAACTGGATTTGACGTAGGGTGGGACTCAACGGACGGCGAAATATCCACTTTCTGTGCCTCTCCTCCTCAAAGGCAATTGCAGCAATTGCCAACGACTAGACAGCGGTCGTCTCTGTATTTCCATTTCAAGTGGCCGCTTGGTCTTTTGCCACCTTATAGTTTAAACATGTCACATATCTTCATCACCAGCTCACTATATGTCCCCAAAGAGGGGCTCGGGATCTACAGTGATAGAGCCCGTTTTAACATCTTCGCACGAATGGGCCGGCTCGCCCGGTGTAATACCACGACCACACAGAAAACAGGCTGAAGTGGAAGCAATTCCGCGTTTCGTCTGATGAGTGTGGTGCCAGAGGCCTAATTTTATTCCCTTTCCCTTTCCCCTCTTTTCGTAAGAGAAAAGGATTGGAAGGAAATGTGGATTTGACGGTGGAGGAGACGCATAGGAAGGGGAAATGTCCTCTTTATGTGCGTCTCCTCCTCCGTTAATTAAGGGTAGGCAATGCATCTGCAATTGCGGATGTTTGTGGGCAGCGGTCGCTTTCCATTTCGGTGGATTTAGGTGGTCGCTTGTTCGTTTATCACCTTATATTGTAAAAAAAAACCCAAGTAAAAGGTGATCTTTTTCATTTACTTACACTGTACATTTACCTGTATTCTTCTCTTGACAATCAAACGAAGAGATGGAAAATGCCGTAGTTCAAAACTCGATTATTCAAACAGTCTGAAAGGAATATTTCATTGTAATTATTTTGTTTCGAAATTGAAATCCCTATTAATATTTCTTACAGAAGTTGTTTTAATTAACGAAATATTAATTAGTACAGCTTACTAAATATTTGTTTTAATATTGCGGATTAGTTTAAATTCATCTTGACCCAGTTTCGTTTAATTCAGGCGTAGTATTTAAAATTTGTAATTGAGATTCTCTGTAAAGTTTCCTAGCATTGTATTGTGTTGGATTTTGTATTTATCTTACTAATGTTATAAATGCGAAAGTTTAGATGGATGGATGTTTGTTAGAGTTTGTAGCCTAAACTACTGAACTGATCTCGATGAAATTTGACACATGTAGAGAATAGTCTGGAAGGGTACATAGGCGTTTTAATTCCACGCGGACGGAGTCGCAGGAAAGCTAGTGTAGTGAATAAAAATTTAATAATATGTTTAATTAGAAATGTGTATGTTAGAAGACGTTTGAAAATAACGCCAGTGGTGGAGTAATTGAGAAGCAAAAGGTTAGCGTGGTATGGACATGTTATGCGACGAGAGGATGGGGACATAAATCAGAATCTATTAATATTGAATGTGAATGTCTACAAAGGTAGAGGAAGACCGAAGGTATAGATGGATTTTGTAAAAGAGGATATGCTGAAGGGAGTTAATTTAGATATGACTGATGGAGATGCATGGAAGAGCAGATACTGTGTCGACCCTCTTTAGGAACAAAATCAGTTTAAAGCAATGTTAAATAATTTCTACTAAAAATATCTTAGTTAAATAAGTACAACATAGAAATTGTAAATTCGTAACTTAATATAATTGGGAAAAACTAGTCAGATTTTGAAATGGATAAGCGGAGAACAAACATTTTAAGAAAGTTACCTTGTGACTTTAAGTTTAGATCCTACTTTATACTAGAAGGCTTTTCAAAGTGAGATTTCGAATTCAAATTCGGACATTTACATGGAATAATGCTGTAAAACTCCTTTCCTGGATTACCATATACATGGTCTTGTGCCTACAGAGATTCGACACAGTATGTACTATTCCATACATCTCCATCTGTTGTTATATCTGAATTGACTCGCTTAAGTATATCCTCTTTCAGACAATACGTACTTTCTTTTGTTTTCCTCTATCTTTTGTAATCATCCACTATAATTGGTACTAAATTTAAAATTGGTTTTTATTTCATAAGCTTCTCGATAGAAATAATGTCGTAGTACTTATCTGTAAAGCGTTAATGTTTTCGAGTTACTTACTTTCGAGATTGTTTAGTAGGGGTTGCAACAGACCATCCACTTACCGGTCTTTTGGTTACATCTTTTTTGTTTCTAGTTGCGGATGGAATTATAATGATCCGTATAAAAAAGCTCGCTGCCCTTAATCGCTTTGTCGTGCTTCCCAAGGAGTCCTTTGTCTGCATTACTTTGTTATGTTCAATGCTTAGCGTACTAAAAGCTTTTAAGTTTTATTTTATAATAGACTTTAAATATTCAGTCATGTTATCCCACTCTTTCTCTTTTAATAAAAGAGATTGTATCATCATCTCTCCTACCTTATCCTACTCCCGTAGGTTTTCGTCCTCCACATAATTTTATCATATGTCACCTCAATCATCACTCTCTAGATCATGTCAATTTTCACGCAATCCATCCATCTCTTTCTAAGTCTTTCTCCTTCTTGTTACATGCGATTCATCCTCATAACATGCCCATACTATGCATATTACCCCTGTAACTGGTCTTCATTATATCCATCTAGCTTTTATGATATTCTTCTGTTTTGCACATCACGGTCAATATTGCCGTCAGCTTAGATTTACAATATATTCTTTTACTTCTTAGACCTTAGAATTTTGTTGAGGATGTTAATTTTTCTCTGCAACATGTGTTAATATTAATGTAAACATATCACAAAACACAGTTAAGCTATATCCGTGTTGTTCGACGTAAACTCTGTTTGCAGTTAATTGGTACGTATTGTGACGTCTACACCTTAATTATAGCCGGTCGTAATTGTACAGGGAATGCATTAGTGTTGTGAACGTGGTAATCTATGTGCAACTATTTTATACACCTATGTAAATATGAGTAGATTTACAAACTTGATCGTTTCGAATAATGTACAGTCGAGGAAATCTGCAGTGTCGCACTTACAGAAAAATAGCTTTTGTTCTTGCATCGAGACAAACTTAACCTCTTATATGTAACCATTTAGGTGAAAGAAAGAAAAGCAATGTACACTGACGTTTTTCGTACATTTTAAGTTATGTCCCATTGGTTATTGTTACGTCGTTTCAATGCTTAGAAAGCTTTTTTAGTTGGAACACAGACAGATTTATTTATTGTACGCTATTAAATCGGTAGTTAAGTATAGATTTAAACATTACTTTTAGTGTAAAAAGGAAGGATAGGTCGATGATGACTTTTTAGTTAATCTTAGTCAAATGTCCGCTACAAATAACTTGTGTTTGACTCTCTTTTAAAAGTAAAAATAACAATACGTTTTTGGACGTTTTAGCCGTGGAATTCAACGCTAATGTTCACTTTGTAGACATAGTCGCAAAGCTAAGCGTATTAACACGTCAGTAAATCTCTACACGTGGGAAGTCCGGTGTTAGACTGATAGTTAAGGGTAAATACACACTGAGTATGCTAATTAAAATGTCCTAATGTAGGATTCCTGGTGGAAATGATATCCATTTAAATTATACTAATATTATAAAGAAACTACTGAGCCGATATCAAAAAATTTATCATCATTAAAAAGCTACGTTATTAGTAAGTAAAA